TGATCCTCCAGGTTCATCTTGATTTGATTGTACCCGGAGTAAGCATCAAGGAAACTCATTAACTCATGTCCGGCTATAGCATCAATCATCTGATCAATGTTTGGAAATGTAAACGAGTCTCTAGGGCACGCCTTATTTAAATCCTTATAATCTACGTACATTCTAAACTTGTTATTCTTTTTTGGAACTACAACTACATTGGCTAACCATTTTGCATATTTTACCTCCTAGATGGAACCGATATTGAGTATTCGGGTTACCTATTCTTTGATAAACATGTTCCTAACCTCGGATATCGGGCGTTTCTTCTGTCGTACCGTGGGAAGTTTGGGTCCAGACTCAATTTGTGAACAACCACCTCTAATGGGATACCTGTCATATCTGAGTGCGACCACGCAAAGCAATATGCGTTAGCTTTAAGAAAATTTATAAATTCCAACCAGAGTTTGGGATTGAGTCTTGTTCCCAAGTGAAACTTACTTTCCAATAATTCTTCGAATAAGGCCACTTGCTCGAGTTCTTCCGCAGTCGACTTGATCGCATCCGTCTCCTTCGGTACCTGAAAATATCTCGGCATCAGGTGGGATTCTAACGACTCCTCGCCTTTATCATCTTCATTCCAGAAAGAAGAAGGCATCGGTTCATGTAGTTGCTATTTGTTGCGCTCCTTCCCCTTGCTGCTGGAAATTGTTACTGCGTTCATCTCTTTTGCCGCTGGTTGGTCTCCTCTTATCTTCTTGATTCCTCCTAGGGTTGAAAATTTCAACAACTGGTGATACATTAAGGTTACAACCTTCATCTCGTGTATCCACGGTCTTCCGAGAATTACATTGCCACCCATAACACCATCTACCACTTCGAATTGAGTGGTTTGGTCAATCCTTCGGCGTGTGTGGGTAAAACAATCTCTCCTCTGGTTGTCACACTTGTCAAGTTGAATCCAACTAAGAGTTTTGTCGTCGGAATGATGCTTCTGGTCAGTTTTGCTTGCTCCAGCACTTTCTATTAGATTATGTTAGGTAAGCTTCCTAGGTCGACCAAAACACGTTTAATTTTGAAATCTAAAACATTGAGAGAGATTGCCAAAGTGTCATTATGTGGTAAGAGAAGTCCATCAGCATCTTCCTCTGTGAAGGTGTTATCATCTTCTGCGACATCCCGGAGTCTCTTATTATGAGTCACTGATATCTTCGTTTTCTTGGCCACTGAGAAGGTTACACAATTGACTTCACTTCCTTCGAAAATCATTTTGATAGTCAACCGAAGGGAGCCTTCTTCCACCTTCGAAGGCTCTGCATTATTTCGGCTTTGGCCGTAGTTGTTCCTGGCTCGACCACTTAAATATTCCCTAAGACGACCATTTTTCATCAATGTCGCTACCTCTTCATGAAGACGTCGGCAGTCCCCAGTTCTATGGCCGTGAGTCCCATAATATTCATACCATAAATTGGGATCTGTCTGGCTAGGATATGATCGAATTGGCTTCGGGAACCGTGCTTCTTTGATATTCGTCATTGCCAATACCAACTCTACTAAGATGATGTTAAAGTTGTAATTTGATAACCTGGGGTATGTGGAGTCTCGGGCCCCTGGCATCTCCTTCTCGTGTAACTACCTACTGATTCGGCCACGATCAACTCTTCTATCAGGAGCAAACTTGTTTAATGACTGAAACCCTTTGCCGCTACGACCTTCGGCTCTTTCATACGGCATAAAATGACCTCTAGAGGACCGTTCATCCGCATGAAAGTCACTTTTAAACTTGTCTTGGTTTTTGTCTCGATCCCGTCCCTTGGTTGTTACCGAAAACCCGAGCTGATCTTCTTCTATCCTTATTTTTGACTCGTAATGATTATGGACATCTGCCCATGTGGTTGCTTAAAACTCGAGCATGCTTTCCTTCAGCTTTCGGGAGGCATCGGAGCTCCGCGGATTTAGACCCTTTGTGGATGCCTCCGCTATCCACTCATTTGGTACTGCGGTAGCAGCATCCTCTTGCTGGAACCGGATCATGAATTCTCGCAGCAGTTCAGACTCGCCCTACGCAATTCTAAATATGTCTGCCTTTTTGTCTTGAACCTTCCTTGCTCCGGCATGGGCCTTAATGAACGAGGCTGCAAGCATCTCAAAAGAGTCAATTGAATGCCCGGGTAAAAGAGAACACCATGTCAGGGCCCCTTTTGAGAGGGTTTCACCAAATTTCTTCAGCAAGATCGATTCGATCTCATGTTGAGCCAAATCGTTCCCTTTCACAGCCGTAATGTAGGTTGTGATGTGCTCCTGCGGATCTGAATCCCATTGTATTTTGGTATGTCCGGCATCTTGAACCTTTGGAATTAACTCCGGTGCTGCGGTCAACTTAAACGGCAATTTCATGTATTTTTTTCAAATTTGGGCCTTTCAGAATTGTTGGTGTGCCTGGAATCTGATCCATTCGAGCGTAACAATCCTTCGCATTATGATCTATTCATTCATTCATTAACCTCATGAGCTCAGTATTGAAGGTATCATTCCGTTGTTTTCCATAGCTGCTACCGGTCCTTCCGGCACCGTCGAAGCCGACTTCGCCTCTTGGGTTGTAATTATTGACTCTCTGAGCTGTTTGATTTGTAGGAACACTTGGAGGAATCGTACCTCTTCCGTTTTCATTATTGGAGGCGTTTGACATTGCTTGTTTTAATTCCGTCATTATCCGATCCTGCCTTGAGAAATGACTCGTGATTGCCTTCTGCTATTCTCTTAAGACTTTTATCGTTTCCACGACATGTTCCTCCTTATCATCATCGGGAGTTGGCTCTCGCACATGCCGAGGGTACTGTCCTTCAAGAACCGAGGATGTTTCGTCACCTTCGTTACGAGTGTCGCTGATTGAGTCATCATGTTGAGGCAAATGTTTATGTTCCTCAACGTTGTGTGTGATGTTTGACATCATTAGCTGCCATATATGGTTCTTACTAAGGAAAGAATCAAAACAAATTAGTAACAAATGAATGAATCAAAGCAATTAAGCAGCTGTCTATGCCCCACGGTGGGCGTCAAACTGTTTACTCGTAAAATGGTATTGTTGAATTTGTTACGTGATTAATAGACAAGAGAATTAATTTGATTCAAAAAAATTATAAAGAGATAAGATTAATATTAGATTAGCAATTGAAATTGAAAAAGATGACAAGTCTGGCTCCGGACTTAGTGTCTCTGAGAGCAAAAGTGAAAGTAACGATAAAGTACTAATAAAGTTGTTAAATTGAGAGCAAAAGTAATAAAATAAAGCTTTTGTATGCATAAGTCTCGTCCCTCTACAATGGTTGCAGAGCCTGCTATTTATATCTTTACCTAGGAAAACTAGATCCTAGGATCAAACTCCTCTTAAATGATAATAAAAGAGTCATTGATGAACATGCAATGGCAAGCCATGAATGCAAATATTCTCTGCAACGGTCGCTCATTTAATGTTAATTAATATTCCTTCATTGAATGATATGCTATGCCAAACCCTTAATCTTTTCTCGTTGGCTACGCTCCCTTCGAGATTTATCCGGTGCTGATTACATATGTCGTATCCGGTATTGGTTGTTACCTGACTTGCTTTTTGCCTATCTTCGGTTCGACGTGTCAGATTACCATTCGACCATCTGTCATAGACCAATTTTACCCCATACAATCATGAACACTACTAAAAAAGCTTAAATTGGTTATGAATTCAGTCGCTAATCTTTCATTAAATTGCTCCTAGCTAATAGAACTTTTTAATAATTTTTCGCTAATCCGTCACTAAATAGGATTAACGACGAATTTTGCTGTTAATTAGCTACAGAATTTGTCCATTTCTAATTCTTATTTTTTGAATACAATGTGTTTAAGAGGTTGGATAGTACAATATTACTATTTAATTTTTGAATTCTATATTTTAAATTATAAATGAACTGGTATATAAACTAATCTGCGATCGATATGTACGTCAAATCATACTAATTTACCATGATTAAGTCAAAAATTAAGGTGAAATGTATATTCATTAACCATAATTTTAGTGATAAGATTGTATACGAAAACATATGTCATATACTTATTGGGTTGATGCAAAACCCGAGTGCGGTATATCTTTTACGGATTAAACTATAGGATCTAAATGTTGAAGACATCAAATAATTAATGGCTAATTGTAGGGTAAATTATGGACCATGACTAGCTAGCGTAATGACAGCCTAAAGGCTCGTTTGTCCGACAGATAAGAGATAATTAATAACGTAATTAAATTTGAAATGAGTTTATCCCATATTTAGTTGGGATAAAATTAAGGTATAACTAAATCCCGGATTAATTATTCCGGGATTTGTAGTATTATTTTAATCCTTATAGTAGGTTGAGATTATAATCTTGGGATAATTAATGCTGAAATAACTTGTTTACCAACTAAACGATCCCTAGGAAGTTTAATAGAAATGGTTTTATGAAAGTTCTTAAAGCATAGCCAAAATGCTGTTCAATTGGTCAAAAGAAATTAAAATTATTATAATTTTTTATTTCTTATTCCTTTTGTCATTTTTCTTTTGGGCGATATATATACGACTAATTACTTTTGATGTTAAAATTATTAATTACTTTAAATCTTACTGAAGAAGCTTGAAATTGAACTACTTTAATAGTTTACTAGTAATTTTACAGAGATTTTTTCTCTCATTGCTTAAAGAACAATCCGATATATAAAGTATTTTGTATTCACGTAGGATTTAAAAAAATATCGCTCCTCGGGATGTGATGTACAATCTGTCCTAACGCAAGGGCCAGTGACTGATTCCTCTTATTGCTTATACCGTTAAATTTCTTTCCTTTGTTCCACATGTATGCTAATTTGTTAAATTCTTATTAGTATTTTTGTCACTAAAATGCTAGAAAAATTATTAAAATTTGGACCACTTTATATCAATCTTTTTCCTCTTTGGATTTTCTTACTTTTTTTCCCTATATATACATACAACGATAGCCTTTAGAATATGTTATAGCCCCTTTGTATTCTACAAAGAGATATATATAATCTTTACATTTAATTCCCATTCCTTTTTACGTAAACCAAAATATGGAGAACCAAAAGCAACGCCAAGCTGCTTGCTTGAGGAGAAGCCTCTTTGATCAGGTCATATTATTAATATTTATTTGGTTGCTTAAATTTTTCGGAGTAATTTAACTTACATACACTAACAGTATATTTAACCCCGTTATTTAAGTTATTTACTCTATTTTTTTGAGTTATCTTATTAGACATGTTATAAATAATGTCTTGTTGTTTTACGTAATTTAACATGAATTTTATGGTTCTTTCATAGTGTGTGTGTATATATATATATATATATATATATATATATATATATATATATATATATATATATATATATATATATATATATATATATTTTCTTTGATTGAATGAACTTTTTGATTCTCAATAGTAATTCAATTGGTACACGCAAGAAATAGGCTGATTCAGTAGCTTTTTGATCAATTTCTCGTGGAATCAAATTCTCATCAGTACGAGTCAAAGGAATGGACCTCTGACCTTGGATGTCCATATAAAGAACAGAACGAGCATAAATACCCTCTTTAACTTCTATTTTAACGGACTATATCCTTTATAAGAAATCGAAAGAATATGCAATGATTCTTCCCCGAAATCCCAACGACATGGTAATAAATAATTATCTATTGTGGGCTTGCCTAGTACGGTTTATATTTTATGTATGGTTTGTGAGTTATTGCACAGTGAACAGGTTACCCAATGCACACCCAAGGATAGCGACTAAAAAAAATATATAATATAAAAATATGTTATTATCAAAAAAAAAAAAGGGTGTGTAACCATTTGTAGTCAACCAACTAATTGTACTGAATGTATAACTAAAGATATTTTACACTGTTAGTGAATAAAACTTAAAATTATTTTTGTTTATTTTAATTAAAGGTGTATAACTTTGGTTAGTCGCGACTTGTGCAGGGATACATTGATGACCAATTTATTCATCTTGAAGAATTGCAAGATGATGCAAACCCTAATTTTGTTGAAGAAGTTGTCAAGCTATTTTACACTGATTCAGTCAGATTGATTCGCAATATTGAACTTGCACTGTAAGAAGTTTTAAAAAATAATTATATACTATCTGATTATCATAAAATTATTAAATTCTACTTTGAAATGCATCATTCTTTTTATATATCACAAAAATTAAAATATGTCGAGAAATGCTATCTGGTTCTGAAAATCACGAATAGGATTCCAATCCATATGTATAGAATTGGCATATAAGTATAGGCACGTCAGCCTATGTTGCGCAGATTCTCTCAAATGATGTCACGCTCGTGTCATTACTTTGGAGGATCCGACACGCTTCTAGTTCTGGCGATATTTTCAGAGAATCCGAGCAACATATATATTAACAACCCAAAAACTATTTTTTTGACTGATTTACAATATTTCATGTTGGAAAATATATACAAATTTAATTCTTAGCAAAATTAATATTTAATTCTTTCATTTGTTCCAAACAGGGAAAATGGACCTTATGATTTTGCTAAACTGGATAATATGATGTACCAATTCAAGGGTAGCAGCTCAAGGTATGTGTTCAAGCTCGCAAGAATACATATAATTTCTCTGTTCCATTTTACGTGACATACTTTCATTTTTAGTTTTTTTTTTTTAAGAAATAGTGATACATTTTCTAAATTCAAAAAAATAAATAAGGATGCAGCTCTTTTCCTGATCATGAATGAACGTGAGATACTTTATGCACCTGACTTCGTTTATATTATTATGATATGTTTAAGATCACAAGTTTCAAAAAAAAATTATTTCATTTTTAAACTACGTATCGATGCAAACTACGTACGTAATATAAATTGAAACAATAATTATTTTTGCACTTACGTGATTTGAGACTTTGAGTTTACTTTTTTTTGCAGAATATAACAAAAAGATAGAAAAGTTTAATGAATCTATTTGGGTCCACGCTCTTTGAATATAGTCAAACTATAAAAGTGTAAATAATTAATTGTTTTATAATAAAAATAGTAACTTTACCAAAAAGGGAACTGAGCTGACTATATTCTTCTTTCTTCTTCTTTTTTCGCAGAATAGTTGCTTTTCCACTTTGAATCACTTAGAATATCCTTATCTTTAGCAACAAAAACATAAAAGTAATTCTTTTCCTTGATTCCTGGACAAAATATATAATTGTAGTGGAGAATCTAATCATTTGGGAGTTCGTATCATGACTTTTTCTGAGATTATGTATGCTTCGTTTTCATGCATATATCCATACTTTTTTATTGAGAAATTTCTTTTAGGATCAAACGCTTACCATCGTGCCAAAAGCTATAGTTGATAGCAAGGACGCAACATTATTCTTAAGTAAACCTACCAAGTTTCTATTGTGACTTCGACTGGCCCCTCGTGGGCTTTGCCATAGGCAGGATGTTGGGCGATGTGCACAGATAGCCACTAACAGCTTATGTCTTTATTTTAAAGCCAGCGTTTTAATGTCTTTAGTCTTTAGCCACTGGTTTAATAAACTTTAACTGCTCGGACAAAAATACCCTTCTGCTCATGTCCTTAACTTCAGGACTTCAGGACTACATGTCCTTAACTTTTGAACTTGAAACTCTAAGTTCAGGACTTCAGGACTACATGTCCTTAACTTTTGAACTTGGAACTCTAAGTTCAGGACTTCAAGGTTACATGTCCTTAAGTTTTGAACTTGGAACTCAAACTTCAAGACCAAGCGTCCTTAACTTTTGAACTTGTAAGTCAAAGTTAAGGACCTATTGTCCTTAACTTTTGAACTTGTAACCGTAAGTTAAGTACTGCTTGTCCTTAACTTTTGAACGTGTAACTGTAAGTTAAGGACTGTCTGTCCTTAACTTTTGAACTTTAAACTCAAAGTTAAGGACTGCATGTCCTTAAGTTTTGAACTTGAAACAATAACTTAAGGACTGCACGTCCTTAAGTTTTGAACTTGAAACTATAAGTTAAGGACTGCCTGTCCTTAACTTTTGAAACTGAAACTCAAAGTTAAGGACAGAAAGTCCTTAAGTTTTGAACTTGAAACAATAACTTAAATACTGACTATCCTTAAGTTTTGAACTTAAAACTATAAGTTAAGGATTGTTTTTTCTTATCTTTTGAACCCGCATGTCAAATTTAAGGAATGCATGTCCTTAACTTTTAAACTTGCATGTCAAACTTAAAGACTCATGTCCTTAACTTTTAATCTTTGAAATCAAAATAAACAAAAACAAGGTAAGAAGAAAGAAATTATTGTACGTAATTGAGACATCTGCTCAAAAATTCAGAACTTGAAAATTTTGATGATGCAAAAGGAACTACGGTACGTATTGGTAAAAGGAATAGTGAAGCAAAATCAGAAGGATCTCATGATGGACCTGGTTATGTCCTAGTAATTGGGGTCACTAATAGACCTGATGCTATTGACCAAGCATGGAGGAGGCCGACCGTGAAATCGCCTTGGGTATTCCAGATGAAAATGCAACGCGAAAGAGAGGAAGAAAGGGTAAAAATGTCTTTTTTCTATTAGTAGTGGCTACTTTTGCTGAGCATTATAATTAGTGGATAAAAATTAAAGACACCCTTAATTAGTGGCTACTACACGCCATTTTTACCAGGATGTTGGCGTTACCCAACAATCCCCCTCCAACAACTGCCTCATACAACATGTTGCTTTTCGAAAATCGAACTCATGACCTTGGCTCTGATATCACTTTTTAGAATCAGACACTTACCATCATCGCAAAAGCTATAGCTGATAGCAAGATTGCAACTTTATTTCTTAATTAAGCCTACCAAGCAAGTGCCATGTTCGACCATGACTCCGACCAGGCCACCTAAATCCTCGTGGGCCTTGCCATAGACAGGATGTTGGCATTACCTAACAATTTCCTTTCTTAAAATCGTGATTAAAATACTGTCCTAGTTTGATTTTTGGTATTGTTTTTAAGCATTTATCTTATATTTATTGAAGAAGAATGAATATTTACATAATCGACCGGTGCAATTTAATTTGCTGAAAGCTACTTTCTTATTTTGAATGTTACTAGTTCCACTAATTATGAGTCTTTTAACGTGACATGATAATGTGAAAAAAAGTTGTACTATTATTGTATAAAAGTAATCAAGTTAAAATTCCATTTGTCCATTTTCCTAAGCTTAAACATCTTAAACTATAAAACTAACAATACCTTTAATTAGTATATGTGTATTTCTCTTTTCCAAATGAAGTATAATATATAACATTAGAACTTTTGTTGCAGCATTGGTGCCAGAAGAGTAAAAAGACAATGTTGTCAGTTTCAGGAATACTGTAATGCCAAAAATATAGAAGGGTAAAAGTGTCTTTGCCTCCTTCTTCCACTTCTGGTTTCTTCGTTTAGATTTATGTTGTTGGGACTTTCCAATATTGTTACCGTATCTGTTTCGGATCCTTCAAAAATACACTATTTTGGAGGGTTCGACACGGAGTACACGACAACATTTTGAAAAGTCCGAACAACATAGACCACGACAATGAATATTTCAAAATGAGCAATTTCCATTCAAGTTGAAGTTGGTTATATATTCTAGTATTATTATTAATGGACCAAATTGCAGGTGCAAAAACACATTCGAAGGAGTGAAGCAAGAGTATAATACACTAAAGACTAAGCTTGAGACTTATTTTCAGGTATATCTCTCTAGTCTTTAAATATTTTTGCTCACACCTTAATTAAGAAAGACGTTTAATAGATTTAATTATAAGAATAATATTTATCGAAACTACTATTTGTCTCTCTTTAAAAGATCTTAATTAATATATATTCCACTACTAGAAGGTGAATCCGGAAAAAAGGTGATAAATGCTTCTTATTTTCTAAAACGACAAATATTTAAGACAAATTCAATTTGTCATAAAGAAAAATAAGATAGACCGAAGATAGTATTTCCTATATTTTCAATTATTTGTACGACCGAATAAAGAAAAAAAAGGGGCAGTCATGTGCACAAGGCATCCCGCGTTCACGCAGGGTCCGGGAAAGGGCCGTACCTCAAGGGGTATGATGTAGACAACCAACCCTAATGCTAGCATTAGTGGCTACTTCCGCGGCTCGAACCCGTGACCTATTGATCACAAGGAAACAACTTTACCGTTGCTCCAACTTCTCACAACCGTGTAATGAATTTAGTGATAATGTGCCTTTACTGTCTTAAAATTTTGGATCTGTCTGTATATACGTATACCATGTTTATGGCTCCTAATTTTATTTTTTTTACCATTTTAAAAATCTAGATGGCAAGAGAAGGTTCTCATTATGTTTGATGTCGAATGCATCAGATTCAAGTAGCTGATATATCGTCCAAAATCCATATATATATACAAATATATATATACATATATATATACGTATGTAACGTCATTTGAATACATACATNTATATATATATATTGCTCCATACAAATGATATATAGAATCTTCTTATCATGAAATAATATACCATCATGGCACTGAAAAAATGTCAGCCATTCTGTTGTATAAAATATGTCACTGCTTATTAATGAAAAGCTCGTGTTTTCAATACAAAAGTTTCTTATGTGTGTAAATACAACTTTTTTAGCAACATACGGCAACAGATATGTGTATTTAATTCACAAGTGAAACTCCAAAATAATGACTTTTTCAAAATAGCCACTTTTCGGCCCCTCGAGTTGAAATAAATAGCCACTGCATGGAGTTTCAAATTTACAAGTGAAATTCCAAAATAATGACTATTTTTCAAAAACATTGACAAAAGTGGCCAGTGGGTGCTATTTCTACTTATAGAAGTCATGAGCAATATTTGTTAATCTTTTGCCACTCGACAGTTCTTATGACAAATTCAACTCGGGAAATTTGAAAAGAAATACACCAATTCCAGTATCAAACTATGCAAAATACTTAAAGGCACACCAATCCAATAATGAACAGCAATATACTGCATTCTTGTGAAAATATATGATTGTATACTGAAACTAAAGGAGAACCAAATTGTGGACAATATTGTGATGGTGAAGCTAGAACATGAGGTACCCATGAACACGGGAGAAATTCAAAAATAGCCAGATTTACAAGTGGTCGTTCAAAAATAGCCCAGTTTCAAAAGTAATCGAAATTTAGCCACTTTTCATGTAAAGATAAATCTGAGCGAAAACACTGTTCAAAACCTGGAAAATATGCCAGTATATTATGCTGGAATTCCAGCATAACTACACTAGAACTCCAGCATAATATACTGGAGTTCCAGCAAAGTATACCGGTCCAGTATAATATGCTGGAAGTTCATACACAAGTGCTCGAATCTCCAGTATATTATGCTGGAACTTTCCGTGTGTTGGAGTTCCAGCATAATATGCTGGAAGTTCATACACAGATGCACCGAACTCCAGTATATTATGCTGGATCGATCTCTGTTTCAGCAAAATAGTGGCTATTTTTTATTGACTTGGTAAACGCCGGCTATTTTTGAATGACCAGTCCGAAAACTGGCTAGACCGTGCTATTTTAACCATGAACACTATGTTAAGACCGCCCTAATGTTGATTGAATCACATTGGATGAAATTCTAAGAAGATAAAAGATAAAAGCGCTAAAGATCACACAAAACTTCTCCGAGCAAAACCCGGTAGTTAACATACCAAATTTACATTATTGAGCATACCAAACAGGGGCGGACCAACGTTGGGGGTGGAGGGTCACCGGAACCTGTTAGCTTCGGCAAAAAGACTGTATATATATTTCATATATATATCTATATATATAGTGAGCACCCCTTAAATTTCTTATTCAGCCCCCTTAAATATCTAGACAGAGGAGCTGGTTTGTAGAAGTGCTTAAGTACCTTCACTCTCTTGATGACCCAGGTTTGAATCCGGGCTCTTACGATGCATATTTTTTTTTACTTTTTTTTTTAAATGGTGCCCCTGTGATACTCAAATCCTGGGTCCGCCTCTGAATCCAGATGAAGATGCAAAGCGTCATGGAACACTCCCAATATCCTTGAAGCATCATGCTCAAGGGCACTCTTTGCAATGATTCTCTTGCTGGGGTCCAAACAGAGCATCTTCTTAAAAAGTAATAAATAAAGACAAAAAGTAATGAGGCCGTGGATTTTTCAGGCAAAAGATTGAAGTCTGCATAACACCTACTCATTGTCCACATACTAAAGGAGAAAAGCACCAAGTCTTTTATATATTCTGCTATATGAAAAACGTTGATTTTCATGGAAACTACTGCAACCAAACAGTCCTCACCTATGTTGCGAGGACTCTCAAACTCGTGGATCCTCAAAAGATGCACTACTTTTGGAGGATCCGACACACATCCAATGATATTTTTGGAGAGTCCGAGCAACATAGGTCTATGCCCCAATAGTTCTCCAAATATAATCAAAAAAAGGAAAATAGAGAGAGATAAAGAGAGACATGAAGGAAAGAGAAGAAAAGGAGCTCGACAAATGGACATTTATTTACTTAATCTCTTACAACTATGAATGTCTGCAAACTCATAAAGACTACTAATAACTTTTCTAGATGTGAAATACCTATATTTATATCACTGGATTTTCTCAATGGAAAACCAAGCAGAAAGGCTGGAGTTTCATTTAGAATAGAAGAAAGCTTCATACTCAAAAGATGTATATATCATTTAGAAAGCAAACTTACACCAAGGAGATCAAGTCCTGCTGCATCAAGATTATTTTTTATTACAGTTGCCAAATCCTGCAATGTAAGGAGCTTGAATTAAGCATTCTTTAGGATGTGATAATATTGACAGGAGAATCAGGCTAGAACTAAGGTGAAAAAAAAAAAAGAAGGGAAAAAACCTACGGACTCTCGGAAAATGTCAGTGGATGCGTGTCGGATCCTTCAAAAATAGTGCATTTTTGAAGGATCCGACACGGGTGCGGCGCCATTTTGGAGGTTCCACGCAACATAGGAAAAAACATTGAGAAACTCTAGATTACCTTTGGAGTCCATTTGGGAAAGGAAGATTTAAAATCAGGCAAAGATGTCACTCCAGGCCATGTATTCTCATTTGGAGTACCCACCACTCTTCATACAGACAAATAGTAGAGAATCATGACATCAATGAAAATATTTAAATACAAAAAACACAAGGATACAAAGATATCGGATAACATAATTCAAGAAATCTCACAAATATTCTTTTGTTATACTGCAATATAATTTATATGCATATTAAAAACATACTGTCTGTGGAGAGAGTCATAAACTGTACCACAAACTCAATCTTTAAACCTTCTCTCAATCTAATAACCCCATTGAGTGAGTCAATCAAACAGAGAATATATATGTAGATAATAAAAATACTTCCTATAATAAAGTTGTGTATGTTCACTTTGAGAAGTAATTAAAAACATTCATTAAAGGACTGGTTGTGCATGTTGACACCTGAAAATCTTGTAAAGTTCATCAATCTCCGAGTCACCAGGACTGATAGTGAGCTGATTAAATTGGATATTTCTATTTGAAATCTGGTTTATGGATATGCTAGCTTTGAAAGGAATAGCCAGTCACAAGCCCAGGATGGATAGGATACATTGTAAAAATAATCAAAGTAGGATGAATTCACCCAAAGGTTTGGCCTAGTGATCAATAAAGTAGGAGTAAAGGTCTTAGGTTCAAATTCAAGCAAACGCAAAAAATACTACTCCCTTCGTTTCAAAAAGATTATTTTAGTTTGACTTGACACAAACTTTAATAAAGAAGGGAATACTTTTGAGATATGTGGTCTCAAACCTGCCATTTGTATGGCTATAAATGCTTCCTATTAAGGAAATATTGAAAGATGCCAATCTTTTTGGAATAGACTAATAAGAAAATAGTGCTAATCTTTTTGAAATAGCGGGAGTAGGTGTTTGCTTCCCATTTATCTAAACCTTGGTAGGCAGAGTTACCTGGTACTTAAACTGGTGGGAGGTAGTAGGTACCTGTTGGAATAGTCGAGGTGCACACAAGCTGGTTCGGACACCACGTCCTAACAGAAAAGGCCTTAATATAGAATGGAATGGGTATAGAAAATTCATGTAATAACCGACACCAAAAAATTGAAATTGAGGCGTAGTTGATTGATCGAGTTGGTTACTTTCTTCTATCCCCAAAAGCATGAAAATGCATTGAAATGGATCATCTTTCTTTTATCTTAAGAGTGTTGTCTGGAAGTTTGAAAACCTCGCTCAGTTATGCATTAAAGTGAAAATATGGGTGAAATGATACTTGCAGAAAAGCGTATGGCGTATTTGGATATTTTATGTTGTAGGGTCAATTAATCAATCATGCCTTAATACCAAATGGATCGGACAAATTATTTGTTCACATAAAACATCGCCTGAAGACATATGGTGTGTCAAACATGATAACCAACTACACCACATGCACCAACTTCATATGTTTCACTTCTGCAGCTTGACAAAACAACCTTCTGAGTATCTTTTCTCATAGTGAAGTTGCCATTTGAAAATCTTGCTCGCGTTTGCATTGTCGTGAAAATATGGTTATGTTACTATCTAGTTTGAAGGGGAGCCTTGGCATTACTGGTAAAGTTGCTGCCATGTGACCAGGAGGTCACGGGTTCGAGCTGCGGAAGCAGGCTCTTGCAAAAATGCAGGTAAGACTACGTATAATAGACCCTTGTGGTTCGGCTCTTCCCCAGACCCCGTCCATAGCAGGAGCTTACTAGAGTGTACACTATTGTTGGACAATTTCTCTTGTAAAGCTTGGTGAAAGTATTTTAGTTATTACCTCCTTGCTGTCTGAAGCTTTACTTATTTATTTATCTTTTTTATCTTGCTTTTTTTTTCAGAGAGTCCATCCAGATTGACCTAGATGGACCAGGTAACGGAGAACTTCTCTCTATCTTTGTCACTTCTAATTTGCTTTATGCTTTGTCACACCTCCTTTTTTACACACCTACCCCGAAGGATAAATGTATAAGGGAGTTTTTCCATTTAAAGTGACATTATTTGAAATGGGATCATTTATTTATTTTTAGAGTCGCCACTTGGGATAGGATTGGCTTTTGGTGTCCCAAGTCACCGATTTAATTTAAATCCCAAATCGAGGAAAATTTCGACTTCCCAATTGGAGTCTGTGAACCAGAAATTCTGTGTAAGGAATTCTGTTGACCCGAGGGAAGGTGTTAGGCACCCCCGGATCCCGTGGCTCTAGCACGGTCGCTTAAATTATCATAAATGGCTAAACATCTGGTTTTATACACATTCCCACCTATAATGCAATTTTTGGGATTATTTACCGCTTTAATTATTTTTTACGAAAAGTGAACGCCGTTTAAGAGCGTGCTTTTGGATCACGTCACATGAA